CAATATTGTAAAAATATGTATGGTGTTAGATGCATAAAGCAGCTTGACATTACTTCTGACATTACTAGATTTAGCAGAGTGACCACTTTGTAAGTTATATAAATGTCTAATCACCATGTTGTACACCTGAAACTAATATATGGCAACTGCAATTAAAAATTATTTGAAAATAATAATGCAGGTGCTTTTCTCACCAATGCATTTCTCAATGCCTTAGTGAAGGAAGTGTCTTATAGGCCTTCTTCTGGAATATAGTTAGGGGGTGAGTATGTTCATTTCACAAGATAAATATACTCTAATATTCCTATCTCCCTAAGCCTTTGGGTTTTCTACTCTACACCATGGCAGGGAAGTTCTGGCATCTCAACTTCATTAAAGGTAGGCCACTGTCAAGTTCAGGTTTCAGTCAGCTTACCAAGTAAACTGTTAGGGCCACCTCCAGCTGCATGAGTCAACGCATTAAATCCAGAGTCTCTAGTAAGTACACCCATATCAATGAATTTGACACAACCTAGTGCTGCATTTTGCTCTACTTGGTCTAACACCCTTAGGGTCGTTTTCCACACACATTCCCCAGGTTTCTGCTGATAAATACGAGCAAGTCTTGCACTTATTTTGCTATATGGTATTTCCTCCTGGGTTATAGTGCGCACCTAAATCCTCTGGAGCACACGGAGATTTGACCCTCGTTATGGGTCTAATGGCAACAGCAGTAGTTGTGCTCTTAAGGATAATCATCCCCTTTCAAGGAATCTGTCTCAGAAGAGGTTGTCACAGAGTTTTCAAGGAAGGAGCACTGCTCCCCTTGAGATGGTTCTACTGGCATGAGAGGCTCAGAAAATTTGGGTATTTAAGATTATCAGTTTCATCGTGGTTCAATTAGGCATCCCTATTCCAAGTTTCAGAATCCCGTTCTTTCCTAATCAGTGCCCAGAAAAACACATAAGAAAGTTGTGAAACTGAATTCAAGTCATTGTAATTTATCAACTCAAAATTAATTTTTTAAAACTGCTTAATTGAGGTATAATTAAAATACAATAAATTACACATGGTTAAAGTGCAAATTTTATGTTTTGACATGTATACACCTGTAAAACCACTACTTACAATCACAATAGTGAGCATATCCATCCCCCAAAAGTTTCCTCGTGATGTTTATAATCTCTCCCACTTGCCCTTTTGCAAGCCCCCCATCCACAAGCAACCACTAATATGCTGTCTCTATAGATTTTTTGCATTTTCTAGAGCAGGCGTTGGCAGACATTTTCTGTAAAGGGCCAAATAGTAAATAATTTTGGGTGTGGTGGGACAACAAACAAAAATGAGAATATTATATAGGTACTTGTATAACAAAGAAAATAAATTTTATTGGTAAAATTAAAAGTATAATAATTAAAAATTATTAAAATTAAAAATATAATAATCTTTGTAACACAAATCTACTAATGAAAATAATGGATATTTTTTGGTATGACATTTTGCTTAATTGGAGTTCAAAGTTAAGTGTCCCTTATCTTTAAAATCTATCACAAACGTTTTCCTCTTAATTCAGATTGAAAAATGTTTTTTCACACAGATAGTACTGCCAAATACAATCAATACACAAACTTATGATTTTACTCAAGCGTATTCATCGTTTGGAAGGCATCTGTAGAATTCTATTAGATTCTTCTCTTGATATTTGCTTTTTAGCATGACACTGTGACATTGCAGTTTGATTACTTCCAGTCGAGTTAGGTAGACTTGGCTTAATTGCACAGTTAAATGGATTTTGAAATATGAAAATTTCCTTTGTGGTTATATCGATGTCCTGAAAATGCTGCTGGAACTGTTTTTTGAGCTTGGAAAATACAGCTACTACATGTTTATGTGGGAATGATGATCTTGTTTCTTGTTTTAACTTTTGACATCCTGCATAAAGCAGCTTGACATTACTTGTGATTCAAACAATGTTATCAAAATCACTTTACAGCAGTACAAGTTATGGATATATGTGCTATTTTGCCTTGTAATTTTAGGATGAGTTCATTAAGAAACATTGTCAAGTCTGCAACAGAAGCTAGTTATCAAAGCCATTCAGTGGTTGCTAGTAGTAGCTGAGTATGGTTCTTTCCATTCAGCAAAATTTCAATCTAAGCCCCAAGTTCAAAAACCCACAGTAAAGCTTTAGCACTGCTAAGACATCAAACTTCTATGTGGTAGAGTAAGTCAGGATATTCAGCTTCTATTTCTAACAACAAATCCTGGAACTGATGATGATTAAGCCCACAAAAACAAAGTTCACAATTGACAATACTAGTTCAATATCATATAATCGATTCAAATAATTTCTGTGAAGTACCTGTTGATGAATAATATGAATAATAATTATAGGCTTTATACACTTTACATTTTCACAAGCTTTCTAAGTTTGTCCAACTAAGGCTTCTTCTGCTCCACATAAATTTTTTATGCCGACGGCACCTTGTATTCCAAGGTGGTCTCCCATCCAAGTATTAACCAGGCCCAACCCTGCTTAGCTTCCGAGATTAGACAGGATCGGTCTTGTTCAGGGTGGCATGGCCATAGACAGGCTAATTCTTGAGTCACTTAAACTCATCATTGATTCCTCAAATAACACCAATAGTGTTGGTAACGTCTGTTAAGTCATCAAGAGCCAAGAAAAACCACTTGAAATCATTCACCTGTTTTTTGTTATTGATGTTGATTTCTTCACCTCTTTGAGCAACTGTTCTCAGTGGTTAATAGTCTTAAGCAAGTTTTATTTTCTCCAAACACATTTCTTTGGCTACTGCAATTGAATATGATTTCATGAACTCACATTGGTAAATAGGTTCCCTTGCCTGGCTAGCACATGAACTACTTAGATTTGGTTCCAGTCTCTTTTCTATTTTTTATTTTTATAAAGAAATTCTGCTGTGGTGAAATATTCTACTTTAAATTTTCTATTTTTTTATGACTGTTGCTTTCCTGTGAGGAATATTATGATGAGTCCTTAATCTGGTAAGGTCAATGTATATTGTATTCATCTAGCACACCAATAGCCTTATTAAATAATAAACACTACATTTACATTTGAGTGCCACTTTTCTTATTTTGACATGATGGGTATGCCCTGGTAACTTTTTAAAAAGTCACAGCATGTCTACGGCTATGCCACCCTGAATGTGCCCCATTTTGTCTGATCTCAGAAGCTAAGCAGGGTCGGGCAGTATGTAAACTAATGGACATGGGTGTATTCTGATAAAATTTATAGATGCTGAAGTTTGAATTTAATATAATTTTCACATATTATTCTTCGACTTTTTTCAACCAACTGAAAGTGTAAAAGCCATTCTTAGTTCAGATACATACAAAAATAGGCAGTAGGCTAGATCTGGCCTGCAGGCTATAGTTTGCCAATCTCCAATCCAAACCCTGACGACTCACAAATGTATATCTCAAGTTGTAACCTGTATCCTGAACTTTATGTTTATCTATCCAACTGCCTACTTGACATTTCCATTTGGAGTCTATGGTATTTCAAAAATAAGCCACTCAACCCATAGTCCTAGTCATTTTTTCCAAAAATTGTATTATAGAATTTTGCAAAAGTATGAAATGGTTGAAATTTATGGTGAATAGGATTGTATCATTAACATTTTATTTTGTCTTATCACATAGTTATCCGTCTTTCCATCCCTCTACTGATCTTTTAATCAGTCATAGTTCCTTGATGCATTTTAAAGTTAACTAAGTTCATTTCAGCCTAAATACTTTTTTTTCTTCCAAGGTAGAAGTCACATATAATGTTCTAGAGTTCTATATAAATAGAATAATACAGTTTGCACTCTTTTTTTGTCTAGCTTCTTTTATTCATAATTCAGCCCAATTATTCATCTATGCTGTTGTGAGTCAGTAGTTCATCCCTTTTTATTGTGGAGTAACATTCCATGTTATGGGTATGTCACAATGTGTTTATCCGTTCACTTGTTGATGGATATTTGGGCTATTTCCAGTTTTTTAGCTGTTAAAGCCTCTATGAACCTTCATGTACCATTCTTTGAATGGACATATATTTCCTTTTCTCTTGGATAAAAACCTAAAATCAGAATAACTGGATCATATGGTAGATGTATTTTTAACTTTTTAAGAAACTGCCAAATTGTTTCTACCCACAGTGTATGAGAGTTCCAGTTGTTCCATGTCATTGCCAACACTTAGTATGGTCAGTCTTTAAATTTTAGTTACTCTAATAGGTATAGAGTGGTATTTCATTGTGGTTTTAATTTGCAATTAAACCATCTTTTCATGTACTTATTGGCCATCAGTATATCTTTTTTGGTGAGGTGTCTGTTCAGATCTTTTGCCCATATTTTAATTGGTTTATTTGCTTATCATTAATGAGTTTTGAGAGTTCTTCATTCTAAATCAGATATATGCTTTGCGAAAATTTTTTTCCTAGTTGATAGCTTATCTTTTCTTTCTCTTAAGAGTGCCTTTTGAAGAGCATATGTTTTTTATTTTGATGATGTCGAATTTAAACATTTGTTCTTTTATGAACTGTCTTTTTACTGTTGAATCTAAGACATTTTTGCCTCATCCAGAGTCACAAAGATTTTCTCCTATGTTTTCTTCTGGAATTTTCAGTTTTAGTTTTTACATTTAGGTCTATGATCATTTTTGAGTTACTTTTGTATATGGTGTGAGGTATGGCTAGATAAAAGTCTTTTTTTTTTTTTGCACATGGATATCTAATTATTCTGGTACCATTTGTTGAAAATGCTATCCTCCATTGCATTGCTTTAGTGGCTTTAGCAAAAGTCAGTTGTCCATTTATGTGTGGATTTGTTTCTGGACTTCCTATTCTATTTCACTGATCAATTTATCTTTTTTTTTTTAAACTAAAATGATAGTTTTTAATGCGACCCCCGAGATATGGTTATAGTTACATAGTCAGACACAAAAAATCTGTGGGTGATCAAGAGTTACAAGATTACAAAATAATGAGAGTAACACTTGGTATAGAAGAAAAGCTGTTCCAGAACCTCAGTAGTCAGGCTAGCATGGCCTCTCCCTGCGATCCTGTCTGTGGTCACCTCTGGAGTCCATCTTGCTGGGGCCAAAGCCACCTCTGTCTCCACCATCCCGGCCCCCTTAGAAGCCCCCATGGTCCCCGCCTCGGCCTCGGTAGCCACCCCGATCATAGCCTCCTCTGCCACCACGACGATCATCTCCATAGCTACCTCCCATATGAGAGCCTCCTGGTCCCCCTCCTGGGCCATCTGGTTTAGGGTCCTTACACTGGTTGCATTCATTCCTCCAAGAGAAGTTCGTGTTCTCACATGTAGGATTAGGACACTTTCAGTCCCCAGCTCGCTGCTGTCCTCCACCACCACCACCTCCACTGGGGAATCCTCCCCGGCCACCACCACCACTGCCACCTCTGCCACCACCTCCATAGCCTCCACGGCCCATGGGTCCTCCTCGCCGTCGGCCTCCACGACCATTGCCACCACCTCGATTGAAATCTGCTCGCCAAGTAACAAATGAGACCTTGATAGGATTCCCAGAAAATTCTTTACCATCAAACCAGTCAATAGCTGCTTTAGCAGAAGATGGGTCATCAAATGATACCGTTGTCTCTCCCTTCAGCTTGCCTGTTTCTCTGTCTGTGTACAGATTAATCATAGGTTGTCCAGTTTTCTTATTTGTCTTAATAATACCAATCTGCTTAAAATAATCAGCCACAGACTCAATTGTAACAATCTCTCCCAGGCCTTATATGAAGATGGTATTGTCTGAATTATCCTGTTCAGAGTCATGATGTGATCCTTGGTCCTGAGGGCCACCAAATTTATTGAAGCCACCACGGTCACTTCCTCCCATGCCTCCTCTGCCTCCACAGCCACCTCCACAACCTCTGGGTTCATAGCCACCACTGCTGTGGTTGTAACCACCCCCTGCCGGGCCGCAGTCCCCTCAGTCCTGCTGGCCTCCCCCGTAGTCACTGCCACCACCGCTCATGGGGGATTGATCTTGACCGTTGTTACATCCGCCACCTCCACCGTTACTGTTGTACTGGTTCTGCTGTCCGTAGCCCTGAGGAGGATTATAGGAGCTTTGCTGCTGTCCACCATAGCCAGACTGCTGACCATATCCCCTAACCTGGGGCTGCCCATAGTTGCTGCTCTGAGGACTGCTACTGTTAACTTCCCGAGGTGCTGCTAGGGGCTGGCCGCTGGCCATAGCCAGGGTAGGAGGACTGCAACCCGTAAGAAGATTGAGAACTCTGGCCGCCATACCCACCCGCTGAGCCATATCCCTGGGGAGCTGGCTGAGTGCTATACCTCTTCTGGGTCTGTCCATAAGAACCTTAGCTGCTCTGGCCATAGCCTGAAGTGTCCGCTGACTGACTGTAACTCTGCTGTCCATAGGGCTGATTGCTTTGCTGGAATAGCCCTGTCCAGGCTGGGTGGGGTAAGCCCCACAGCTTTGGGTTGCTTGTTGGGTATAGTTGTTTGAGGCCATGTCGGCGCATGCGCACACAGGCCGACACGCAAGAAGCTTCCAAAACCACAGAGCACTGATGGCTCGAGGACTGAACCCAATTTACCTATCTTTACAATAAAACTACATTGGTTTAATTACTGTAGCTTTATAATGATACTAGAAATTACTATAGTGGTAGCCCTCTACTTTGCTCTTCTTTTTCAGAGTTGCTTTGAGTTTTCATTTCCATATACATTTTAGAAATAGCTTGTCAATTTCTACAAAAAAAAAGTCTATAGGAATTTAGTTGGGTATTACTTTGAAAATTGATCTATAGACCAATTTGAGAAGAATTGCTATCTTAATATTTGAGTCTTCCAATTCATGAACAAAGTATAGCTCTCAGTTTATTGAGATTATTTTTCTGACATATTTTATAGTTTTCAGCACATATGTCTTCGCAACTTTTGTTAGATTTATTCCTAAGTATTTCATATTTTTGATGCTGTTGTAAATGGTATTTTTAAATTTTAATTTTCTATTTCTGTGGCTAGAATATAGAAATACAATTGATATTGTATTCCACAACCTTTCCAAACTCACTTATTTATTCTAATATCATTTTTCAGATTCCATTGGACTTTATACATGATGATCATGTATTCTGTGAAAAAAGAATTTTACTTATTCCTGGAAGGGTAAATTTGGTCCCTTTTACTCCATCTTGGCTGGAAAGAGAACTTCTCTATACAGTTAAGTTTTGTTTTTATTGCAAGCAAAATCAGCACCGTGGCCATGAAAAATAATAGATACTTTTAGGGCTATTATGGAAGCTCTCTGGTTCTGAGATTGTGACGTGAGCTGACAGTTAAAAGACCTGAATTTGCCATTTTCTCTCTGTAAGCAATCCAGTGCACTTTGAAGAAGAATCCTTCCCACACCACAGTCATCATTACTGATATAATAGTCAAATGCAGCAGCCAGTTGCAGCAGGCAGGTACTTTAGTTGGTACTTCATCAAAATAAGCCACAGGTGATAGCCTGATTAATTGTGATGCTACTGCATGTCATGGATTACCAACATCTTATTTCCTATTGTCAAGGAGCTCACAACAGTGCTCAAACCCAGTGGAATGACCAAACCAATCCCAAAATTCCATCCTGTGGGTCTGTCTCCTAGCAACACTCTTGGTACTAATTCTGTATCAGTCAGGATCCAATCATGAGGCAGAAACCACACAGTAATGTAAAAAGGAAGTTTATTTATAGGAATTACTACTAAGTGTGAATAAAAGAAAACTCTAAAAAATAAAGGCAGAGGAATAGTACCCAAGGAAGGAACAAACTTGAAAGGGAAGTGCCCTCTCCAAGTCTGGGATTCAGACCTCATTGGAGAGATGTGGCTGCAGCCCAGTGGAGAAGTTTGTTGGGATGCCCCAGGCATCAGACCCAGGCTGGTGGCCAGAGAACCAGAAGCAGAAAACCCTCTCATTGGGGTGCTAATGTGAGGCAAGGAACCATGAACTGGGACTGGCAAGCTGAAAGTGAAATGCCACCAGGAGTCCTGTGTGGTGCTGCTTGCCACAATCGCAGAGAGGGAAAAAAACAAACAAACAAACCTAGAAGAACCAGGAGAACCTTCTTCCTCCAGAGTCACTCCAACGCCCTCTACTGTCAAGAAATGTTTGCCAGTTCCAACTCAGTAGAAAGCAGAGCAATTCATGGATTTGCAGCTGAGAGGCAAAAAATTGATAACTGGCACACTATACTAATAGTACTCTTCACCGGTATGCACTTAAAAAAAAAGTCTTCCATCTACAGCCATGCTACTCTGAACAAGCCCGATCCTGGCTGATCTCGAAAGCTAAGCAGGGTCGGGACTGGTTAGTACTTGGATGGTGAGACCACCTAGGAAGACCAGGTGCTGTAGGTGTAAAAAAATAAGGGATTGTAAGTTGATGAGGTCCTTGCAATCTGTGAGGTCAATCAAGGGTTGCCTCACCTAAAAAAAAAAAATCCAGTGACCTTTTCTAAGCATTAAAAATGATCAATTTTATTGTCTCACCCCTTGAATGCCTATCTTTTTAATATTCTGCATGTCAAAGCGGGAAATACAGATAAAGCACTTATGCTGCATAGTGAGTCGCAATGGTTATCTCAGGGAAAGTCACTTGTGAGATGCAGTTGTGAGCTGAACGAGTCACTTTTTTAAAAAAAATAAAACTATTTTTACTTATGAGAATGAAGAACAAATTGCTATTATTTAGAGTTGAGTATCTGGCAGACATGTCTTTAAAAATGAACCAAGTAAGCCTGGCACACCAAGAAAAAAACCGGCGGTGTTGTTAGTGATACCTTTTAAGTGAAAATTAGAATTTTTTTCAAAAACATATCCATTTTCAAGATCCTAACAGCTTCCCAATACTTTTTTCCCCCAATAAAATTGGTTGTAAAGATAGACCACTGGCTTTTAATATGACAGAGTATGATATGTTCATTGATAAGGTTTTACCTCCCACATTTGTAACTAACCTTTTAAAAAACAACTGTCAAATTTTGGTGTTATATCAAAGAAGTATATCCACATTGAGAAATACTCTTGTTTTTCATCTGCATATCTGAGTGAGGTTGGATTTTCTTTGTAAGCTTCAACCAGAACAACACAATCAAGCAAGCCACAGTGAATGCAGAAGCAGATATGAGAAGCCAGTTCCCTTCTATTAGGCCAAACATTAAAAAGATTTACAAAAATGTAAAACAAGCTATTTTCAGTAAATTTGTTTTTTTAAAATATAGTTGTTATTTTTTTAAACTATATTATTTACGTTAATGTAGTTATTTTATATTGGTATTTTTAAATGATAAATTAACACTTAAATAACATCTTAGTTTTAATTTTAATTTTCAGTGGGATAAATACCGATTGCTATAACCCACATAACCTAAAGTTTATAGGGGTCCTCAATAATTTTTAAGAGTATAAAAAATTTGAGAACCACTTGAGACAAAAAATTTGAGAACCACTGCTACAGGTCAAGTGTCTGGTCCACAAAGAGTTCAATAAGTGTGGGCTGAATCAAAGGAGTTTTAACAATTCTGAATTTTGATGTGGCAATTTGGAGAGCAATTTTATAGGCATGAAGGGGTGAAATTGATGGCAGTGGGAGGTCGAGAAGAGTGATGGAGCTAGCTAAGCACGTGGAGACTGTTCTCTGTAAATTTGGCAATAAAGCAAAGGAAGGAGAAGATAGTAAAAGGCAAAAGATTTATGCGATCTGAAGAGAAACCAGAGTATAGGAAGGAGAAGATAAAAGCTAGAGAAGGGATCAGAGCTGAGAGGATACATTTTACAGTATAAAATTTTGACTGCTCATGTTTATAGGCCAGTGGAGAATTAGAAGCTGAAAATAAACTTGTTATCTTACAAACTCCTCATGTAGACTTTCTCTCAATAACCTTCTCCTGTATCTCTCCTTTCCATGCTCTGTACCTTCTCTGAACTCTTCACTGACCTTTCCATACCTTCTTTGACCTCATCTGCAGGCTCTGTAAACTGCTTTGCACATTCTCTGAACTTCAATCACAGTATCTGCTTCGAAGTATGCCCCAGGGTGGACCACATGAAAGATAAAGTTAGCTCCTTATCTTAGGGCTATAGGGTCAGGCTTAGAGCAATTCCAGGTCAGAGGTATCATCCAGGTCTGTTTGGAGAATCCAGCATCGGTCACTAGGTAGTCCTTCCCATTCCACAGCCACCAGGCCTGGAGGACCCCTAGTACATAGAAACCTTTGAAGTGTCAGAAAAGAATGGTAGTCTCCCTTGAAAATACCTAGACTGCGAACAAGGGAATGGGGTGGGATAGCAGCTAGAGGAGTGTGAAAAGAGAAAGAGGAAGAATATATTATTATAAACATTTCCACCCATTTGTCTGGAATCTTCTATCTCAGATGCAGGCACCTCAGGGGATGTGGGATTATGGGTCAGTTGAGGGTGATAGAAAGAGGCATCTGAAAGCTTGAGAGTGGTCAGCCCCAAGAAATATCTTCTCTTGGGGACAAGGTAGGTTGAGGAAATAGAGCCTTTGACTGTAATTAAGAGGACTCAGAGAAAAATGTGAAAGAAACCAGAGGGAGGGGGTATGGGGATGCTTCCTTACCAGTGACCCAGAAGAAAGTCTCAATGTGCTGTTCCTTACTGGTTATATCGATGTCCTGAAAATGCCGCTGGAACCGTGGAGTTCTTATACTGCTTTGGGGTATCAATAGGGAATAAAACCTGAAAGAAAGGCCTTGTTAGAACCATTCTCCTCTTCTTCCTTCTGCTCTACTTCTAGAAATTAGGCCAAAATGTGTCTGGGGCATGCCAGTGTATCTGGAATAAACCAGACCAATGACAGCCCTTATGCTGAAAGAACATGTGTGCAGTGCAAAGAAGTTCCATGGATCCATGAGTGAAGCTCTGGGTATATCTGGAAGTGGGAACCTGGAAGGGAAGGAGGGATAAAGGGAAGTCGGGGAAAGAAGAAAAAGAGACAGGTTGAAGATGAGTGAAGGGCCAGAAAGGCTTAAAAATGGAAAGTAGCTAATAAGAGATAGGGAGAAAAGATATAGAACTGCGAGGAAGGAAAGAGGGAGGAAGAGGCAGCATAAGTTAGAATCAGCTTGATATTATAATTTCAAATTCTCGAGAAGTGTTATGAGCAACTGTATGTCAACAAATTGGATAAGCTAGATGAAATGGACAAATTCCTAGAAACACAAATCAAACAAAACTGAATCATGAAGAAATAGCAAATCTGAATAGACCTGTAACGAATAGAGATTGAATCACTAATGAAAAACCTCACAACATAGAAAAGCTCTGCACCAGATGGCTTCATTGGTGAGTTCTACCAAACATTAACAGAAGAATTAACATCAGTTCTTCTCAAACTCATCTTATTGCCCTGCCTAGAAACTCTAGTTTGAATAGATGTGGTAAAAGTGGACATCGTTTATTTTATTTTTTATTTAAAATTTTAAAAAGTTAGACATTTATACAATCCATGAAATGATCC